ATATTGTAATAAAATGAAGACTTACCCCTTTTCCTAATATTTTCATAAACGGTATAACATTTTCGTTGGCAATGGATTGTAAAATACGTGGTGGACCATACAAACTACCCATACAGGATGATACAGATGACAGATACAGACCAGCCAACCATAGAAATCCTACTATAGATACCTACAATAGATAGATAGATAGATAGATAGATAGATAGATAGATAGATAGATAGATAGATAGATAGATAGATAGATAGATAGATAGATAGATAGAGACCAGCCAACCATAGAAATCCTACTATAGATACCTACAATAGATAGATAGATAGATACAGACCAGCCAACCATAGAAATCCTACTATAGATACCTACAATAGATAGATAGATAGATAGATAGAAAGATAGATAGAGAGATAAATAGATAGATAGATGGTGGATAGATAGATGGATAGATAGATGGTAGATAGATGTATGAATAGATAGATAGATAGATAGATAGATAGATAGATAATGAAAGCGAGGTTTATAACGCAAATTAATTCATGCATTGATAAGACGGCTACGTGATATGAATGAATAGCCTATGTAACGTCACTGAATGAATGAATGAATGAACAGAAATATCAAAACAGAACTTGAATCAAGTTGTAACTCAGAGTTACACGCTATGCAATCTTCCGACAGGTACGGTACAGAATTGTCTAGATTTTCATCAAAGCATGAAATATTGAATACATGGAATTTTTCATGAATTTTTGAATGATTGAAGAAAGAATTTTTCCTCGGCAGAAGAAATGTGACCTGAATTTGCAGCCAATTATAAGCCTTGACACTTTCAAATATAACATCAATTGATAAACCATGTTGAACATCAAATTAATTCTTAACAAAAATGTAATAGTACTGATAAATTACACACTCACTTATAAAATATGAAAGTTGTAGAGAGTAGCCTACCTTTTCTGCTATCATATAATCATCGAGAAGATAAGAACGTAAACATGTAGCCCCTAGGACTAGTATAAAAGATATATATAGGATCGTTCTGAAATAATAATACATATCATTTGATGCAATTTAAAATAGGAGTATAAATCAATATAAGAAATAATACAAAATAACATGTAAACATTGAAAAATTGAATATTTTAGACATTAAATATATAAATTGTTATCATACTAGAGAGGAGCAAAGATATCTCTGTACTCCAGGTCTAATTCACAGGATAAACACAAATAGTTCACGTTATTTTTATCAAATAACAGAAAACAATTTTATCATACACTACACCTGAGTTTGTGGTATACCAATTGGTTTATGGTTTCAACAATTTACATTGTTATCATCCGTTGAAAATAATGATAATATAAATTGTTGAAACGTTGTGTACCATAATAGAGTTATATAGCATAAAATTGTATTCTGTTATTTAATGTGACCTATCTAAATGCTGCTTCAGGATTAAAACAAAAAAAAAAAACGAAATTATTCCAACCTCTGCCCGTAAACCCCCACATCCTAATCTTACATATAAAGCATATGTGTCTGGTTATTCAAACATTTTCCCGCAATAATTTGTTTGAAGGCATTTAATTGGTAGGGAAGTAAACTCTCTACCAAATAATATTAATGAAGAGAATATGGGATTGTGCAAGCAACGGCTAGATGGTCATTATCATTGTTTAAGGAACATGCCACATCCTAATCTAACATATAAAACAGACTTACCCTACACCTAAAGAAGCGAGAGTACCGCGAGGTATATTATAGAATGGATCTTGTAAATCTCCGCTCATGTTGATTCCAGCTAGAATACCAGTTACAGTCGCGAAAAACAGACCAAAAATACTGAAAAAATTCTCTCCTTCTGCATATTGCGGTCCGGAATTATTCACAAAATTAACCTCTGTATACCCAGTTACACCATTTTCTACAGAGAAATTAAATTAATACACTTATATTTACTATATCTAGGCACCGTATTGGGTTCTAATGAAATTTTATTGTCTACTTTTCGAGTAAAAGTGTTCACAGCTCACCGTCAAAATTTAAGCCTTCAAATCCATGTGTGTGTCCAAAATTATCCACGTTTGAATGTTAAAATGACGACATGATATATAGAAAAGACCTATACAGAAAGAGTGTGTAAAATTCCTAGTTTGAAGGTATTTTTGAAGGAATTATGTGATTTTCATACATTTCTAGTACTTCTGAAGACTATTTACATACATTCAAGACACAAATCAACCCCCAAAAATGGTGCATGGTCCCCTTAATCTCCTACATTTCTGCAACTTTTTTGGCTCATGAATACCATATGCAGTGAGGGAATTTAACCAAGACTGAAGCCTTAGCCTGCTCTTTTCCCATATACAACTGCTGAAAGCTCTAAAAGAGCATATTATTATAACAAATTGAAATTCACATGGCTTACCAGTCATACCAAAAGACAAGAAATAAGGAATTAACCAATACATATTGTTTATTTGATATATTTTGTGTTTTGAAAATCAATAACTATATCTGAATACCTACCAACATCAGTGTGAACAAACGATCCAACAATGAGATCCATAGCTGATAAAAATAACACTAATAATAACACTAACTGGAGTCGTACCACCCACTTTACACCTGCTACATTGATACCTGAAATAGAATGGAATGGAGTTTAACATCCTGTCGTTATAGTTATAACTTAATCAAATAAAATAACACAGGTTCACGAGGAGTGATCCCAGACCAAACCTCTTGGCATTGATCTTTCCCAGATTATACATACATATTTACAGCTGGGTCGACTGGAATAATGAGGAATTTATTCAACGTCACCAGACTTTCACATACTGACCGAAATTAGAACCAATGACCACCATATGTGTAACAGAACCAAGCAAATAATATCAAGTT